GGATCAGCTCGTGCAGCTGGGGACATATGGGGACATTTGGGGATGTTTGGGGACACCTGGGGACACTATGGGACGCCTGGAGATGTTTGGGGACACCTGGGACACTTGGGGACACCTGGGGACACCTGGGACATTTGGGGACACCTGGGAACACCTGGGGACACATGAGACACTTTGGGGACACTTTGGGGACACCCCAACTGGCGGCTCACGATGCACGTCAGCACCACCGGGATCAGCTCGTGCAGCTGGGGACACCAGGGGACACTTGGGGACATTTGGGGACACCTGGGGATGCCTGGGGACACTTGGGGACAACCAGGACAATTGAGGATACCCGGGGACACTGGGGGGACACCTGGGACACCTGGGGACATTTGGGGACACCTGGGAACACGTGAGACACTTGGGGACACCTGGGGATACCTGAGACACTTGGGGACACTTGGGGACTCCAGGGGACACCTGGGACACTTGGGGACACCTGAGAAGACTTGGGGACATGTGGGGACACGTGGCAAGGCCGTGGGTGCAGCCCCAGCTCAGAGCTGGGGAGAGGCCTGACCCGGTGTCAGGGTGATGACGAGGGGCTGGTGGCACTTGGGGACATGAAAAGGGTCACGTGGAGGTGACAGGGAGGTGACAATGAGGTGACAATGAGGTGACAATGAGGTGACAACATCCCCACTCCTGTACTTCTCCAGGTACAGGGTGGGGTTGTCCATCAGGACCAGGGGGCAACATGGGGGTGACAAGAGAGTTCTGGGTGATCCCAAAGGTAACAAGGAGGCCCCAACTATCACAGGGAAGTCCCAGAGGTGACAATGAGGTGACAACGTCCCCACTCCCGTATTTCTCCAGGTACAGGGTGGGGTTGCCCATCAGGACCAGGGAGGGACACAGGAGGACATTGAGGGGACAGCGAGGGGACAGTGGGGCACAGGGGGGTCCCAAATGTGACAGGAAACACTCAAAAGTGACAATGAGGTGACAATGAGGTGACAGGAGGTGACACTGAGGTGCCAATGTCCCCACTCACGTATTTCTCCAGGTACAAGGTGGGGTTGTCCATCAGGGCCTTCACCATCCTCATGAGGTAGATGAGCAGAGCCAGGTTGTTCTGCACCACGTTCACCCTCACCTGGGGGGGCACAAGGGGGTGTCACAGTTTTGGGGACACCCCCCTGGGTTTTGGGACAACCCCCTGGGTTTGGGGGACACCCCCCTGGCTTTGGGGACACCCCCGGGTTTGGGGACACCCCTGGGTTTTGGGGACACCTCCGGGTTTGGGGACACTCCGTCGGGTTTGGAGACATTCCTGGATTTGGGGACAACACCCCAAGTTTAGGGATACCCCCAGGTTTGGGGACACCCCCTCAGGTTTGGGGACAACCCCTTGGGTTTTGGGGACAACACCCTGGGTTTGGGGACACCCCCTCGGGTTTGGGGACACTCCTGGGTTTGGGGACAACCCCCTGGGTTTTTGGGACAACCCCAGGTTTGGGGACACCCCCCTCAGGTTTTGGGGACACCCCCATCAGGTTTGGGGACACTCCCCTGGCTTTGGGGACACCCCTGGGTTTTGGGACACCCCCAGGTTTGGGGACACCCCCCTCAGGTTTGGGGGACACCCCCGGGTTTGGGGACACCTCCAGGTTTTGGGACACCCCAGGTTTTGGGACACCCCCGGGTTTGGGGACACCCCCCTGGGTTTTGGGACATTCCTGGGTTTGGGGACAACCCCCTGGGTTTTTGGGACACCCCCGGGTTTGGGGACACCCCCCTGGGTTTTTGGGACAACCCCCTGGGCTTGGGGACACCCCCAGGTTTTGGGACACCCCCCTGGGTTTGGGGGACACCCCCAGGTTTGGGGACAACCCCTGGGTTTTGGGACACCCCTGGGTTTTGGGGACATCTCCCTCAGGTTTGGGGACCCCTGCCCAGGTTTTGGGGCCCCCCCTGGTTTTAGGGACGCTCTTCCTGGTTTTAAGGTCCCACCCCAGGTTTTAGGGACACCCCTGGGTTTGGGAACACCCCCCTGAGGTTTGGGGACCCCTCCTCAGGTTTTGGGGCCCCCCCTGGACTCACCCCCTCAGAGATGAAGGTGCTGAAGCGAGGCAGCATCTGGTAGAGCCCGGGGTCGGTGGCGATGCTCTGCAGGGCCTCCTGGGGGGACAGGGGACATTTGGGGACATTTGGGGACACCCCCAGGGACAGGGGGACACATCTGGGGGGCAGGAGGGGTTTGGGGTGCCCTGGGCAGGTTTTGGGGTCACTCACAGCCTGTTTGGCCTCGAGGATCTCTTTGTAGGGCGAGATTGGGACGGATTTGGGCTGTTTGTGAAGAGTTCTGGGGGGTTCTGGGAAGGGTTTTTGGGGTCAGAGGGGTTTGGGGTGCCCTGGGGATGATTTTGGGGGTCCCAGGATGGTTTTGGGGTCACTCACAGCCTGTTTGGCCTCGCAGGACCCCACACA